AGCCTTTTGAACTTTTGCTTTGCTAACGTGCAAAGTGTCAAAATTTCAAATTAAGAAGTAAATTGTGCAAATCACTCAAACTAAATTTATAAAATTTTGTTTTGACATTCCAAAATTTTTAAAACAAATTTATAAAAAAACCCATAAATTATGAGATAGCAAACACCTCCTAAATTTTGGTTAGCCATAAACATGGCCGTCGTTTTCACCTCCCACTTTGAGCTAACCATCAGCCATCTGATAGTTGATGTCAACAAGATGCAAGGCAATAGAAGGCTGAACTACCAAGAGGTAAAAAACTAAGGCCACAGGCTGTTCAATTCGGATTAATTCAGTTCACCTCGTTTTTTTAACCGAAACCAAACCAAAGTATTTGAAAAATCAAACCAAACCAAAACTGAATGAACCGTCTCGGTTCAGTTATTTGATGTTTGAAATTTCAGAAAACATACAAGGAATTCAGGGAAAAAAAAAATGCTAATACAAACGTATCTTCTATTGTCATCGAAAAGTTTCATTTCCTAAGAACAATACAATCACTGCATCACTACCAATAAATCTAGCAAAATAATCCAAGAAAAAATATACCATTAAGTATATTGGGAGTAAACTGCACCAACTCGGTTTAAGTTCCTGTAAAGGTTGGTTTGGTTTCCGTTTGCTTTGAAGAAAAACTGCATCTCTCGGTTCAATTTTCACTTCAGGAGTTCATTTTCGGTTTTTCCAGTTCAAACATGTAGCCCTACAGCAAACTTCGCCATTCAGGAGCTATACATAAGCATGGTTATTGCAGAGACTATAATGAACATAATTACGAAGAGAGAAGCTAAGGTCCCATGAAGGAAAAATATTACTCTGGGCATTAGCAGTAGAATGACCTAAAGCATTAGACAAGAAATACATCATAGTTATGTTTAAAAACAAATTTCAACGGGATTCCCAATCCTTCAACTTCTTGCTTCCCTTAGGTTTTGCTATTGCCGCATTCATGCCTGCCATTTTTGCATTGTACTTGGCCCTAAGAGGATCATTGTACGTCCACCTGTATGACATAAAAAAATAAAAAATAAGAAACGGGGGATTCTAAAATGGAACTGCCGAACCAAAGTTTTTGAACAGGACAGTTCAAACATTATCTAAAAAATCAAGAATAATAGCAAAAACAAGGGAAGTTAAACCAAATCTCCCATTTAGATGCCAAATGTAAAAGCCCTTTTGAAAGAACCACAACAGTTTTGGCACTATAGCCTAACAAGCTTAAAGTAGGTTCATGCACAGCTATGCAACTCACAAAAGGAGCAATAGTTCAAGAATTTGGGATTTCAAAATAATTTATTTTTTTGCAATTTATTTTTATGTAATTTTATTGTTTGTGTTTGATTTAGGATTTTAAGAGATAAGTGTTATCTCATGAATTATCTTCTCTATTGTAGGATTTATCTTTGGGATTTATTTGACTTATAGTTCTTAGTATGACAAAGAATACTTCCACCATTAAATTTGTACTTGTTTTCAGAATTAATCAGAGTTGAACTTGGATTTGAGTTTGTGAACTTTTATGCCTGTGGGTACGTATGACCCCTTGCATGTGTGAAGTTGACAACTTCTTCTTCTATGCCAATTTAGTACAGATTACAAATACAAATTCTAACCCTCAAACTCCCTAACCAGGACGCTCCATAGCCATTAAATATGCATAAACCCCAGACCCAACCCACTAAACTTATGTTCAAAACCAAACCCAATTTCCTGCAATCCAGGCTTACTTCAAAACCCAAATTCATCTCAAGCACTAAACCTATTAGATTTTTTAAAAAATAAAAAATAAAAAATAAAAGATCAGATTGTTATGTTCCCGTGTCACGGATCAAGTCACAAGACGATGCACAAGAAAATCTGCTTCAAGCGATGCAGCCTTTCCCTTGTTACGATTCTTGCCTCGTGAAGAACCTATGATTATATATATATATATATATATATATATATGAAACTCGTTGAAGGGAGCTTCTAACCTTAGACTCGTTAGAGAGAGCCTTAAACCTCTATAAATTTGGATGGAAATTCTGCTAGTTTTATTCTCTTCTCATTGTTCTCTTAAATAGAGATTACAAAAGAAATTATTCTTACAAAAAGAAGAAAACTAAATTAAGGAATAAAATTAAAGACTTAAATTGCAATGAAAATACTTACTAAAATTAACTCATCTAATTAGGAATAAAATCATTATTTGTCTTCCTTCCCATTTTGGCACCATTGACTTCCTTATTTTGTGATCCATGCTACCCATAACACAGATCCTTATTGAGGTAGACAGATTTTCAAATACAAATTTGTATTTCAAGATTATCTTTTATATTGTACAAATATACAATTTTAGGATTTAAATATACAAATTTGCACCATATTGATAAAGGATTTCTTTAGATAGATATTATAAAAAGGATAAAATAAGTTACATGAATTCTCTCTTTTATATTTTAGGATAATATCTTTAGCATTTATTCGATTTTTAGAGTTTATTGACTTAGGAATGCTTATGTAAAGTAATGCCCAAGAGCCTAAGACTAGTGAGAGAGAACTACCATGCATGCATAACTTAAATTTCTAAACAAAAATAAAGCTGGAAAAGATTATGTTAATAAATAAAATCCATATGGCCACAAAGTCAAACTTCAATATCTCTTGTCACAAACACTTCATGTACTGCTTGAAAATCATACTGATCTCCAATGTGAAATCCTATATTTATTTTTACAATGACAATTTAACCTTCTGACAGAGAATAAATTAAGAAAGTGCCAATTAAAATTGTGATCAGTTTTGACTATAAAGATTTGCTAGGATAGGATGCTAAAATTGTACAAAGCCTCAGCTATCTCCACATGCAAATCATTGTTGATTTGTTTTCATTACCAGAAGTTTTAGGTAACAGGATTTCAAAGAAGAGGTACCAACAGTCTCCATAAAGTGATAATTTGAACTGAATGGCAAAATGGTAAGTTCACTTCAAGTACAACTTTAACTAAAGATAAATGTTACCTAAAAAAGACAATTACATTATTTTTGGAGATAAATAGTGTCTCTAACAAAAAAAAATTACATTATTATTGGAGATGAATGGAGTGTCTTTAATCATGCTTAATTATATTGGGAGGAAATTATCCTGGCTGTATCCTAGATTCTAACAGAGAAATCCATACAAGTTTTACCCACTGCTTAAATATTTCAGCGCATGTGGATGTAAACAAGCCAAATTCACTTCTATACACTGGCATGATCCACAGTCTACGTAAACCTTGGTTCCAAGACTAAAGATTATGAAAACTACTATGGGTAATGTGGCCTTACAAAGATCCTCTTAAAAACTGAAATACAGCTGTTCAAGAAACATGAATAATCCCTCCCCCCCCCCCCCCCCCCGCCACCCCACAGCGCGCGAAAAATAAAAAATAAAATAAAATAAAATAAAGAAAAGGAGAAATGAGGCAGACAAAGAGATACCAAGAGCTTCTCCTTGCAATGGCTAGAAATTCTCCCAAACACTTGTAAATTCCCAAGCAATTATTCTTACCTAGAAGGACTATATTGGCTTATACAGAGGTCTAAGAAGTAAGAACCAAAGCCACTGAGACATCTAGCATGATATTAACAAAATATATGTATGTAGTTATATCAATAATTTTTTCATCTTCAGTATTGGATAATTATTATTTGGGCAGTTGTTGTAAAAATCTAGTGAACAACTAGACAGCACTTTGCTCTTTTAACACATTTTTCATAATGAAAAGATGGCATGTACTCGAATGGTTTACACAGTGAACCATCAGCACAAGATGGCCCCATGCAACAACCAACTGAAGTTAGATGAAACAGTACATAAATTATTCAACAAGATGACTATTATTTGCTGAGTTGAAAATGGATGTTTACTAGTTTATTTGATAGAATAGACCAGTGTTATCAAACGGTGGCCATGGCAGATGCCGGTGGCGGAATTTCAAAATTCTGCCACAGCGGCATTTGCCTTTAGCGTTTTTCTCATATAGCGGCGCCATGGCACCCGCTATGGTCATGGCGTCATGGTGTTGTGGCGACACCATGGCTGTAAGCGGACTTGGTCCGTGGTTTGCCGAAGAGCCATCGGCCTCAGCTAGATTGTGGGCAGCAAAATGGGCTAGGGCTTGGACTGGGGCTAGTAGATCGGTCTTCTCCTCCTGTAAACAACACCTTCAAGCGGGAAAACATGCTGCGCACTGACTAAAACTCCACTGCACGTTACCTGCTGTCCATTGCATGCGAGCGCTGAGAGACAATCAAGGGACGAGAGACGACAGCCATAGTTAACGATTGCTGAGAGACGAAAGCCATGGCATAATGATCGACAGCCAGAGCTGAGCAACACGATCGCTGCAAGTGACAAAGCCGACAACCGAGCAAGGACGAGCAAGACTCAAACAGACAACAGCCAAAGTTGGGCGAGAGCTGAGAGAAGCAGAGTTGTCGAGCGAGTAGCAGGGGATGCAAGAAGAAGGCTGAACGCAGGTGCTACAGTACGATCGAGGGAGGGGAGACTACAATACACGACTTAGGTAAACAATCTTGCGTAGGCGTGTCTATTTCACTTTAGGCAGACGAGCGGCTCTCCGCTTACATCTGTGGGTAATGAATGTGTGTGTGTGTGTGTGTGTGTGTGTGTTTTATTAATCCTGCTGCTCCTTCATTCAAACTAATCCATAACAACAACCATTTATCATGTTTCTAGGTTAATTATGACAAATGTAAGTTCTTCACAAACTTCAATTGCTGCATTTGCTCTTCTCATTAATAGTAATAGGACAGACCAAGGATGGAAGTATTGTCATCACTTGAGGGAGGGTGACACAAATATTATTATTAAGAGTTTCACTCCAATTTGTACATTTTGTTCTTCTTTTTGAATGCTTGTGACACTTATTTAGTTGTTATAAAATGATATAATGATGTTTATTTTCATTTAATATCAGTTTTAAGTTGTTTTTGCAAATTTTTATTGTAAATTTTAATTTTTTTTTCTTGTCCACCATTTGGCCACCACGCCATCCGCCATGGCTCCATGGCGGTTTTTTAGCTTGCTGCCATACGCCATTGATAATACCGGAATAGACTACTTTTCTCATTGTGTTTTGGTATGTGATTTTTAGAAATCCACATGCTTTTATTAGACAGTTCTAAAATAAACAGGTCTAAGGCTTGATGCAGTGCCTTCGGATATTCCCAAATAAGGTGTGAATTAAAGTAGTCTTAAGTATAAATTTCTTAGTAATAGAAATCAACTTAGGCCTTTTTTTGAACTACATAGTGAGAGCTACATGGATGTATTGCCTATTACATGCCATTACTTCAATTAAATCATATCGTCTTAGATCTTTCATTACTATCTAAACCCAAATTAATTTTAGTCAACTTCTCAATTATACCAAATCCAGGGATAGAGAGGTACAAACACATGCAAGCCCAAAGGATTGCCGGCTTTCAAAATGTCACAAGGCACTGGCTTTTCTTCTCCTTCTTTCTTGCAGTTTCAGTATAAAAAGGCATATCTTATGCCATTGGCTGCACTTAATAGTAATGAATTTTCCCTAATAGATCATTATTGCTATACCAATAATTTATTATATATAACATGCCTTGTTCTTGATTGCACTAACATTATATATAACATTCACTTGATGTTATCAGACCTAAGGTTACAGATCTGCATGATGCAAAGCATCAAAAAAGGAACCACTATTTAGATGGGCTATTGGAGTCAGATATGCCATGAGAGATATCTGGAGGCTAGACAAGGTTGTGACATTCTCTAAAAGGGTGTTTAGGAAATACTTAACAAAACAAAGATATCTTAACTGATTCCAGAAAGGGCTTGTCGAAAAAATAATATGGGCAAATAAATTGAAACAACTAAGACGATACTACTTTTAGACAGCATTCTGAGTAGATAAATGTCAAAAGGGGAGTTGGGGGAAATATGAATGGCTATAAAAGAGAAAAAGATAAGAAAAGAAACAAAGATTTTAGTAAGAGCAAAAGGGCACTTACGGATTGTTCCAATCAGTTGTGTCCTCATTGACAAGATGGGTCCATTTTGTCCTCCCACTACGACCGAAGTGCTTAACCTGCATGACTTTGGGTAATATAGTCTTATCCATCTTATCTTCACCAGTAGGAGCAGAGAAATCACGCTTGTATATGCCTTCAGATCCAGCAGTTCCAGCATGATCATCTGCATCTGACTGAAAGAAAGCACCTTTGTGATAGTATTTCTGCATAAATCTCCACTTCTGCTTGGGCAGAGGTGCAGGTTTCGGATTCCTCCTCTCCCACTCCCTCCTCTCTTCCTCAGTCATATTTCTAACCTTTTCAATCTCTTCCTTCTCCTTCAGCATTGCCTCACGATCATCCCTATCCCTCTTAATCCTTGCAATCTCTCTGACCTTCCAAGCTTCATATTCCTCTGCCTCATTTACTTCATCATCAGTGTCCACATCAGCAATATTAGCCTCCAATTCCATATTCTTCTGAATTTCTTCATCCTTCCGGATCTCCTCAATCACTATTTGCTTTGTCTCCACTTTTCTTTCTTCCAAACGTTTTCTCATTAATTCCTCAAGTGCTTCTTCTTCTGCTTCAAGCTTCTCACGCTCAGCTATGGTGTCTCTCTCTGACTTTGGGACAAAGACAGGCTTCACCATTGCAGGACCCGTTAGCTCATCCTCTGAGTCGGTCTCGTATTCAGACTCTTCTTCCTCCTCTTCCTCTTCCTCCTCTTCCTCTTCTTCTGGAAGAAGTGCAGCTTCTTCCTGCTGCCTCTGGAGCAACTTCTCCCTAATTCGCCTCCTCCTTTCCTCCAATGCATCTTCATCCTCTTCCTCCAAGTCTAATCCTTCTTGTCTTTTATTTTCCTCTTCTATTGTAGTAACAATCTCTGCCTGTCGAATACGCCTATGATCAGCTCTTATCTCTTCACGATTGTCTACCCTACTCTCAGCCAGACGACGTAGCCTGGGATCATCCCGCTTCACAACGTCTGCATCTTCCTGAGTTGGAAAAGCCTTTTCCAGGGCAACTGCCCTAGCCATCCTAATATCCCCCTCTTCATCGGCATCATCAGCCCATTCAGGAGCTTTACCTGGCCAATACCTTTTAACTTTTGTTTGCCCAATTTTACCTCTCAGTTTATCTCTAATAGCAATGATGGTATCGCTGACACCAGCTGTGACAGACATCCTTACTAAAAACAGACGGTCCCTGGAGAAATAGCGGTAGATGGAACTTTAACAAGTCTGTATACCAATAAGTGGTTCTGCAGCTAAGATTCCAGCAGCTAAATAAAAATCAGAAACAATTTCTTCAAGGAAAAACTAGTCCATGAAATCAAAATCAAATCAGTATTGAGAAGTAGATTAAAAAAAAATAAAGTTCTTAGCTCGGTTACTCAATCAAGGTTGCCATGTGAGCATGTTAAAGTATTCATTACGGGCTAACATTAAAGATGTTTTTGGATTATTCTACTAGAGAGAATTGCTAGAACAAAAGCTAAAATCTTAGGGGAAAAAATTACGCAGAATGAATCTGTAAAAGAGTGACCCTTGAAAACTGTTTTCTGTTTTTGAAAACTATTTTGGATGAATTTTCAAAGAAAATAAAAAATTACAATAAAATTATCGGAAACTAATTTCACAGTGTAAGAAAACGAAATAAAAACATCAGAATTTTCAGAATTTTTACAGTTTTCTGATTTTGAAAACATATAAGGTGAAAGCTAAAATTGGCCGTAGGTGGTGGGCGTCCGAAACCCTAGCCGCGCGACAGCCATCACTGTTAAGGTCACCATCGATGGCCGTCGGTGGTAGGCGTGGCGGTCGGTCGATTGGGATCTGTGCCCGGAGGGAGTAGCGAAATCGCACGATATCGCACAGAGAGGGCCGCAAGAGTCTGAAATCCAGACCCAAAACGGGGGTTCAACTGAATAGTACTCGGAAAACGAGCACAGAAAAAATCAAATGGAGAGGAAAGTGGTTCTACCTGTCGATAAGAAGAGCGAGCCCAGGAGAGCTCCGAGTGGGCGAATCAAACCGCGATCGAAGAAGGAGAAGCCGACTTCAGCGACTGCGAGAGAAGAAGAACAGCGGGTTTCCCTGCACGGTGGTCGGAAGGTCGTGGTCGACAGGCACGCGGTGGAGCCAGGAAGAAACAAGGGAGAGAGACGGAGACGAACAGGGATAGGAGGACCGAGACGAACAGCGAGCAAGCAAGCAAGCAAGACAGTCTGAGACTCCGAAGGGTGGAAATCAGTTTTCACTGTATTTACAAAATTGCCATCGCGTGCTTTGATTTTTTTTTTTTCCCGAACCGAAGTGAAATCGATACTTCGATTTCAACCCGAGCATGAAGCAGAGACCGATGTGACCTGAGTTTTGGATTCGGACATTTTCGTTTGTTTATTTCGTTTTTTTTTTTTTTTTAATCCGGGGCTTGCACCCAGAAAAAAAAAGGGGTTACATAATTTCACCTGGAGAAAGGCTCTCAAAAACTCACTCCTAGGAGGTTTCTTACTTAATTGGCAGGTAAGTCTAATTTTTAATATTAATTTTATAAAATAAATTAAAATTTATCATTGTATCAGTAGTTTAATTCTTTTCTCTTATCACATGTTACATTGTTAAAATCTAATTTACTTGAAGTAAGTTTTGATCATAGACAAAGTAGAAATGCACGTCACAAAGACGTTATGTTTAGCCTCTAGCCTCTGTTTGTATCTATAACATACTTGTTATCTGGATCTGACTTAGCTTGAACTAATTATGAGAAAACAAGTTCCTAAACTTCAACCTTTACAAAGTTTTTGAATATTTTTCTCGTCTTGTTTTATATTTTTTTTTTAGAATTATTTTTATTTTGTCAGTGCTTTGATTGGAAAAATAAAAACGTTAGAAATAATATTTTTTCTATCTTACTTCTAAATTGTTTTAATTTTTTATAAATTATTTTTAGACAAAATAATTGAATGTAGACTTCTTCCACTTAATATGTCAACATTAATATAATGGACCTAATATTGACCCTTAATTTTTATATTTCCCCCTTGTTTTTTAAGTTTAAAAAATTCTTACCTATAATTGGTGCCTCACTTACTGAGATTTTTAGTTTTTAGCAATATTATTCCAAGTCTCAACAACATGGTTAAATATAGAAGATGACTTTAAAAAACTTGAGAAATTCAAAGTAGTCATAAAATTTTAATTTATGAAACTATATTCTATATATATTATATATATATATATATATATGTATGTCTGTGTGTATGTGTAGTAGAGAGAGAGAGAGAGAGAGAACATTTCTGTTATATTATCACATTTTTCTTTTTCTCAAGTTTAAAGATTCTGTTTTTCATTTCCTCGTACATTTGTTTTTTGTAGGCTAATAAAACACGTGAGAGAGAAAGTAGTAATATATATGCACAGAGAAAGAAAGAGAGACTGTAACATAACACCCATGTTTCTCTCTCCTACATGACATGCTTCTCATTTTTTTTTCTCTTCTTTATATTTTTTTTAAACAATCTAAAGTAAATATGATCTCCAACTGCCAAGGTTGATATTAACTCTTTGACAACAAGGTAGGAAAAAAGAAAAAAACACACAAAATGCATAGAAACCAATGCTGCTTCTTAGATACATACATATAGTTGGAGTGAATAGTGTCCAAATAGATGTATCATATTGACTATGATGCAATCTGCATGGAGAGACCCTTCCAACCTCTAGGCCTCAACTCTTAAATTCATTTTTAGGATGGTATATAAATCAAATCAAATAAATTAAAATATAAATGTAAATTTAAATTTGAAATTTTATACATTCTATATTTATTAAATTATATTCGAAGTTAATAAATAATTCAAAATTTAATAAGAAAATTAGATCTGATAAAAAAATAAAATGTTTTATATTTAAGTGCCTAAACTTTATTCTATTAATCATATCATTTCTTAATTTTTTAATTTTTTTAATTTAATCTTTACAAATTTGAATTTATTAATATTATATATGTAATTAATAATTTAATAAAAATATTATTAAAAGTAAAATTCAGATATTTAACGGATCAAATTACTTAATTTCATATCCAATCGACTTATTTCAAATTATGTATATTTATAATTAAACTAATCTATTAAATATTTTAATTAAATTTGAATTCTAAAATTAAAATCGAATTTGAATTAAACTTTAACTTATTGACAGTGCTATTTATTTCATTATTTATATTTTTAGTTTTACATAAATCTTTACATGTTATATATCTATATTTGTGTTCTATATAGAGTTATATCTTGAGCAATTTATCTTATTAACTTTTGAATTTTCAAAATTTCACTTGTTAAAACAACACTTTCTTATTCGATGTATTCAATATAGATTGAATTAAACACACACACACACTGCAGACTCGTGGTGGGATATGAGCATCAGACTTTGAACTTACAGTGGGGAAGTCTTGTGAACTGCAAATTGTTCTCTCTTTCATTACTTCCATTATCAACCCTGTCATCACTAAAAATTCATACCAGATATAAGCTACAGTATCCATATAGTAAAATTCGAGCATTAACAGCATTCTCCTGAATGATAATAAAGGCACGCACACCAGACTATTCTACAGGCACAAAAGAGTTCAAAGATGAAGATTGTCTCTATTTATATCGCGAACTGGGAAGGCCCTGTTGCATCCATCTCTCTCCAAAGATTTTGATGCTATACACTAGAGGAAGAGAGAAGAATTTAATTATGGAGGTGTAGAGACATCACAGGAGAATTGGACCTCTCCAATCCCTGCAATGACTAGAGATAATCCTTGTACAGATGTCAAAGCAACCGATATATAGTCAACAATTTTTACTCTCTTTGCCTAATAAATCTTACACTAAAGGCTTACTTAAGGCTTAAAAGGGTATATCCGATATGAAACTTCTCACTTACAGTAGGACAAAGAAAAATATTGTTTATCTATCAAAAGTCTGGGCAGGGCTCAACCTCTTCTTCCTGTCGCTAAAGCTCATGCTCCGAGCCAAACCTGGAATGCAGCTTGAAAGAGACCGGGATAATTTCTGTTTCTCAAGGTTTGCAACCCCAACTGGACTCATTTCATTGGTGCAAACAGAGTTTTCTTTACGCTTGTGCAGGGTTTGATTTTGAACTGCGTTACTGCCCTCTGGCATGCCATTGCTCCTGATGGTCTTCACCCCTAGGAGACTTTGATTATCATCCTGTTGGTTTTCACTGATACTTTCATGGAAAAGATCGGCCAATTTCTTCTTATCATCTGTGGGGGAAGGTTCGGGTTTGGAAATTGTTTTGTTGCTGACAGAAAGGCAATTATCGGGTGGAGGTGTGTGTAAGTAGCTGTTTTGATGGACCGGAGTGTTGCCGCGAGAAGGGGTAAAGTCTGCATGAAACATTACTAATTGGTCAGTAACTTAAGTGAAAAATGAAATGTACACTTACGTAAACAGAGGAACAAAGAAAGAGGACAAAAATATTTACGGTGAAGGACTAGGTTGATCTTACCACCATTGACACTCAAGAAATCTTCACTATCCGAGTCTAACCAGGGTTGAGAATCAAAGAAACTCTCCCCTTTACCGTCTGCATGAAAACAGAAAAAAGAATGTAGAAGCACAAATTATCATTGAAGTATCACCAAGTATCCTATACTTGAGATGAAACTAGTCACCTTTGGACACTTCTAAATAGAAATCAGTAACAGGATGAACAAGCACATCAATTGGATTTTAGTACTTTTTTTTTCCCCCTTCCATTTACTACCTTTCTGATTCTTAACAGCATCATCATTTATGGGCATAACTGTGTTTCTAATTACTTTGTTTTGTAATCTAAAAGTAATTCTCCTTTTCAAAACCAGGCAACTCATGTCCAAATGAAAAGTGGATTATGTGCTCTACTTAGAATTCTTAGCAACAAATGCAAGGAAAATGATGTTTGCAAGACACCAAAAATACACTAGGAGCTATCTAAGATATTTGGAGAATCAAGGAGTTCTTGAAGATGCAGTCAAATGTTCATTCAGCTTCTTTATTAGTTACCGAGTGTCCAAAATCTTTCCCAGTAACTCAATGCTTACTTATGTGATTATGTGTGATATTCAAAAAGAAAATGTAACTTCAACCTGCTTTCTCCACAACTAGAGAGAAGGTTAACCTAAT